AATGGAGAAGTGAATAAATTATCGTGAAAAATAAATTAAATTCTATATAGGGCAGACAGGCACACAAATATTTAACACTTTTTTTGGACAACAAACATTTATTAATTTTATGCTATAGACTTGCAACAGGAAGATACAAAGAGTTGGTGGAATAATTTGATTCACCAAGAAACAGCTGCTTTTCAGATATTCCCAAGTGGAACATAGCAACATAATAAAGCATCTTGAAGAGTCTAAAATTCTTACTGTGGCCGTTTGAAGCCTGTAGGGGGGCTCAAGGATGATGCCCCTGAGTACAACAGGGCATAGAATGGTGGCCTCTCAAGCACTCTTCTCTGTGGGCGGGGCCCTGGAAGAAGATCCCCCTTCAAGACCACAACTCGCTGTCTCCCAGGAGTAGGGCAAATGCTGGGCTCACTTCCTGTCCCTAGAGATTCTTTGGCGTCACAATGAGCTTAGTAAACACAGAACTGGGACATAGTCACAATGACAGCTGTAGATTGAGCATCTGCTGTGGGCCAGGTAATTTCCTATTAGTTCTAAATTATTACCAGCTTTGCACACTAAATCCATAGCATAGGTGGAATTCCCTATTTATAGATAAGGAATCAAAGGCCTAAGGAGTCATTTCCTGTTATGAGGTAAATACTCAAGGATCACATGTAAACTCGAGCGTGCAGAAGTTGGGCTACTGAGTCCATCATTTGACGACCTAAGGTGAGACCTGAGCTGGGTGGAGGAGTCTTGGTGGAGAAGGCCTCATAATACCTACATCTCACTCTGACACTGGACCACAGCCCTGACACTCAAAGAAAAGTCCACAGACCGGGATCTGCAGCATCCACCTAAGAGCGAGTTGCAGATTCAGACTCTCTGGGCCCGTCTTACACCTGCAGATTCAGAATCTGCTCATGAAGATGATCCCCAAGTGACTCCTGCACACACTGATGCTGGAGAAGTTCTGGTCTAGAACTTTCCCTCCTCCCACTGTTGACATCTGTGCTGGATAATTATTTTTGATGGGCTGTCCTGTGCATAGTAGCATGTGTAGCAGCATCCCTGGCCTCAACCCACTAGGAGGCAGTAGCACCTCCCACGTTGGTTGTGACAACCAAAAATTTCTTCAGACATTGCTACATGTTCCCTGGAGGCAAAATCGCCCCATATGAGACCCACGGACATCAAGTATGAGAAGTGGAAATATCTTGAGGGAGTTCCAATCAAAGCTTATCCTCTACTCAGTTCATAACTTTGGACAGATCACATAATCCTACTGAGTCCCATTTCTGCAGATGTAAACTGAGGTTCATGAAAGTACTGATCACATACAATGGACTTTTGTAAAAATTAAACCAGACAATCCATATAAGATTCTGAGCTCAGTTCATGGTGTATAAAAATATCTAAATATGTTTTAAAATCTACAAACATTTTTAAAGAGAAGAAATAAATGAGAACTCTTAAGTAGAGTTACAAGCATGGATCTTCTAGTTGATTTGTCACAAGCTTCATGAAGCCAAGGATTATAGTTCCTGTGGTTTTGTAGCAAAGAAACACGCCTCTCTCCGTGGTTGAAGAGGGGAATACCAATTTTCTGGAAATATCAGGAGATGTTCCTGCCACAAGTCAATACTTGGGAGGTCCGTGGGACTTAGTCAAGACAGGGTCCTCACTTGCAAAATTGGAAAAAATGTTAACTCAAAGTTAGCGTAAGGTGAAAGGAGGTTAAAACTCTGGAAGACAGTTGAGTTCATCAGAAGGAGTAATGCCAATGCATTCACCTCATTTCTCACCTGGTCTTCTGGGAACAGAGTATCAGCAGAAAAATTTTCTTTCTTTCCAGACCAGTCTCAAGGGGAAATGATGTGCTCAGAGGTGGGAGCAACAACGGAAACAGCACCTAATGAGCAGACATAGAGGGTGGTAGATATCTCCTCTGCTGCAGTCCTTCAGGGTGGGCACCTGGAGCTGAGCAGGACATGGTTGTTACTTTTGGATTCCTAAGTCCAGCGAGGGGACCAATGCTTCATTCCCAATGCTGTCCAGAAGGGGACAGAGCTTCAGTCTCCATCATCACCCATCCAGGGAGGAATTTGGGCTTCCACATGGACACTTTCCTCTCAGAGACTCTATCCAGGTGAGACTGAGAACCCAGTAGGTTCTTCAGGAGCGGTTCAGGGAAAATGGAAGTGGAGAACTTTTACCTGAGCTCACCTGAGAGCTTGACCAGGCTAGCCCAGAGTGGAGAGATTGTTGTGTTCATTTGTCAAATAGTCTAATCAATTTACTTAATGTATTAAAAAGAGAAGTGTCTGTCGGACTCATTAACACAAGGGTCATTTTTGACAAATAAGGAATGGGGATGGAAGTCTACTTGGGTAAGACTGAGGAAGGAATTGGAGGCATAAAGTGGCTCTAATACAGTTAGAACATATCCAGGGTGTTTTGCAGGTAAGGGGAGTAAGAAAATACGGTATTAGGTGTGGAGGTGTGTGCAGTGAACTGAAGGCATTTTTTTTAACTTTTTAAGATGGGATGCATTTGAGCACATTCTGTATTTATTAGAAAGAGCTGTGGAGTTAGATAACACCTTGCAACAGTAGTTCTTGAGTCATACGTTTCATAGTGTCATCTCTCATGTTGGGTGTTCACATGAAAAAATCATATTTAACATGAAAAAAGGATTTGTTAATGACTCTACTTTGCTATACTTCACTACCTGGAGGTGGGGAAGCAATGGGGACATTTGCCAGGTAGAATAAAACATTGGCCAAATCTCATCACCAGTGATATCCATTCATTTAGTAACAGGAGGAAACTATGCTGAGCTTTCTACATATATCAACCGAATTTGTTTACCACCATGGGAGGATGGACACCAGTATCCCTGCTATTTGAGCGAGCATGTTAACATCTAGAATGGAACTGTTGTCCCTCCAAGTTCAAACAGCTAAAATGTGGTAAATCTGAAGTTCAAAACTCAGTTTTCTGATTCAAAAGTTTTACATGTAAAATCATTCAGAGAAGTGTTTTATGACAGGGTCCTTTCTCTTTTAGGTACATTGTTTTTTGCTGCTTTATTTGTTATTCTCGGCATCAAGGGGCTATAACTGGGGCTGAAATGCTGCCTGACCCCAGGAAGCTTTCTCGTCATCACAATCTCTCAGGGACTACCTGAGCTTACCAGGTCTTATTTTTCTCCATGTATCCCTTTCTTTCCTCTCTCTATTTTCTGAATGGCTTTTTAAATTTTCTTTTAATATAGAGCACAAAATGGTCATATTAAAGTGGAGCTCCATGTTGACATGTCCATGGGAAGCTTACAGACTTGAATTTGGGTACTATTTCTACATTTTTAGGGTGTCAACAAAAATAATTCATAGTCAATCTATAAATGAAAATTTGGGAGAGTTTATCCTGAGCTAAAATCTGAGAACCATGGCCTGGGGCCTTTCTTCCCGAAGGAAGAAAGGGCACCAAAGAAGTAGGGGTACACAGGGTGGTTATACACCCCCAAAGAGGATGCTTTACATATGATCGAAATGTCCCTCCCACAATAGTCACAAGATTGCCCTGTCAGCACAGCGCTTGATGGACACAGCAGGTAGTGGGTCTGCTCTCTCAGCGGGCACAGTAGGAAGCAAGTCTGTTGTCTGGAGCTGGGTGGTCACAGGTGAGTGCAGCAATCAGTTCCTAGCCTAAGGAAAGATGCTTAATCCTTAAGGAAATGCCAACGTTGGGAGGGGGAGGGAAGTTGCACCTTTATCTCAAGGGCCTTTGTTCTTGCCATAGGGAAAGTCTAAAGCAGATACACAATGCATGCTCAATGGCCTTGGTCAGGCCCTTTTGGAAAAACAAGGTCAGGCCAAATTCGGTTTACACAAAATGGCTTCCTCATATACTCCAATATATCCTATTACTTGCCATTTCTATTTGTCAAGGGTAATTTGATGTTGGCAACTTGCCTTATATCATTCCCTTCCTAATTATTGTGGCTGGAAGTGAGAAGAGTCAGGGAGTAACACGGCCGCATTAGGCCATAGTGTGCTGTGTGTGAGTGTGTGTGTGTACTTTGTGGGGGTGTGAGCAGTTCTCTGGACAGTGATACCTAAGCTTGTGACCCTTAAAAGACAGATACCACAATGTCAACTAGCAGATGGAGATAAAGAGGAGATCCACTTCTATCAATAGGATTCCTTTGAAACAAAATTACAAATGTACAACATGTGATCGAGGGACTCCCTGTGTCCTGAAGTTTCAGCTCCAGCAGGGAGACCACCTTGTTTCTCAATGTTCTCTGACACCACCTCTCATTCTCTCCGTCTTGCCCATTCCCCTCAACACTCTGGCTTCCTTTTGAGCCTTGAATATCTGAAACAAGTGCCATCCTTGGGGCCTTTGCACTGACTCTTTTCTCAACAGGGCACAGGCTGCCCCCAGATAACCTAGTGTCTCTTGCTCTGTCTACCAGGACTCTGGTCAAATTTTACCTTGTTTTGCAGGTCTTCCTGAACTCCCAATAAAATATAGCATCTTCATTCATCCTATTTTATACCTGCTTTTTTTTTTTATAGCACCCGTCATTATCTGACGTGATGTATATATATATTTTTTCTAGTTTATGTTCTTTCTTCATCATTGGATTTTAGGTAGTTTTGTTTCTTAGCATTCTATAATCTTACCTGGAAGATTGTCAGTAGTCAACATAAATTCCTCAAATACATGAAAGAATTTTACATTAAAGCTGTAGAATATGTGACCTCTTGGGGTAAAGGCTGAGCATGGGACAGGAATTCCTAATCACATGTATCCGGGGAGATCCCTTAAAGGCAATCTGATCAACACAAACATATGTGTAGAAATTTATCCTGTTATTTTTTTCTTTCCTAGTTGTGACCACCACCACATGGAAGCAGGAAATGACACACAAATTTCAGAATTTCTCCTTCTGGGATTATCAAAGGAAGCAGAACTGAAGCCTCTCATATTTGGGCTTTTCCTCTCCATGTACCTGATCACTGTGTTTGGAAATTTGCTCATAATCTTGGCTGTCAGCTCAGACTCCCACCTCCACACACCCATGTACTTCTTCCTCTCCAACCTGTCCTTTGTGGACATCTGTTTCACCTCCACCACCATCCCAAAGATGCTAGTGAACATCCAGACGCAGAGCAAAGCTATAACCTATGAAGGCTGCATCACCCAGATGTATTTTTTCATGCTGTTTGTAGTGTTGGACACCTTCCTTCTGACAGTGATGGCCTATGACCGCCTCGTGGCCATCTGCTACCCCCTGCACTACCCAGTCACCATGAGCCCAGTTCTCTGTGCACTGCTGCTTCTGGTGTCCTGGATCATGAGTGCCCTGAATTACCTGTTACAGAGTTTAATGCTGTTATGGCTTTCTTTCTGTACAGACTTGGAAATCCCCCACTTTTTCTGTGAAATCAAACAAGTGGTCCAACTTGGCTGTTCTGACACCATTCTCAACGACACAGTGATGTGTTTTTCAGCAGTGCTGCTGGGTGGTGGTTCCCTGGCTGGTATCCTTTACTCATACTGTAAGATAGTTTCCTCCATATGTGGAATTTCATCAGCTCAGGGGAAGTATAAAGCATTTTCCACCTGTGCTTCTCACCTCTCCATTGTCTCCTTATTTTATTGTATAAGCTTAGGCGTGTACCTCAGCTCTGCTGCTACCCACAGCTCACACTCCAGTGCAACAGCCTCAGTGATGTACACTGTGCTCACCCCCATGCTGAACCCCTTCATCTACAGTCTGAGGAACAAAGAGATAAAGAAGGCTCTGAAAAGATTCTTTGGGATGGCAGCTGCAAAAGGGTTAATTGTCCTGGGGCTGAAGAATCTTATGTAATTGCAGGGCTCAAAGCATTAGAGCCAGAAAATTGCTATTCTTTGATTAGATTGTGGAAATAGCACTTGTTCCTTCTATCTATTGCCTGATATTTCCATTTCTTTGATTTCAGCTTCCCTATACAATTTAAGTAAGTCGCTTGATTAAGCTTTCTGCTTTGTCTGATATATGGACAGTTTTCCATTTCTCTACTTCCCTAATTTCTCCAAGTTTTTCCCAAACTTTGATGAAAAATATTTGCAAATGTCCATTTCTTTTGTGGGACAAATTAGATTTCTTTTTTTTTTTTTTTTTTTTATTTCAAACGAGATGATTTTTATTTTATTTTATTTTTTTTTTATTTTTTTATTTATTTATTTATTTATTTTTTTTATTAATGTTATGATAGATTACAACCTTGTGAGATTTCAGTTGTACATTTTTGTTAGTCATGTTGTGGGTACACCACTTCCCCCTCCGTACCCTCCCCCCACCCCCCCTTTTCCCTGGTAACCACCGATCAGATCTCCTTATCAATATGCTAATTTCCACCTATGAGTGGAGTCATATAGAGTTCGTCTTTCTCTGACTGACTTATTTCGCTTAACATAATGCCCTCGAGGTCCATCCACATTGTTGTGAATGGGCCAATTTCGTCTTTTTTTATGGCTGAGTAGTATTCCATTGTGTATATATACCACATCTTCTTTATCCAATCATCAGTTTCTGGGCATGTAGGCTGGTTCCACGTCTTGGCTATTGTAAATAATGCTGCGATGAACATAGGGGTGCAACGGACTCTTGAGATATCTGATATCAGGTTCTTAGGATAGATACCCAGTAATGGGATGGCTGGGTCATAGGGTATTTCTATTTTTAACTTTTTGAGAAATCTCCATACTGTTTTCCATAGTGGCTGTACCAGTTTGCATTCCCACCAACAGTGTATGAGGGTTCCTCTTTCTCCACAACCTCTCCAACATTTGTCGTTCTTGGTTTTGGATGTTTTTGCCAATCTAACGGGGGTAAGGTGATATCTTAGTGTAGTTTTGATTTGCATTTCCCTGATGATTAGCGATGATGAACATCTTTTCATGTGTCTATTGGCCATATTCATATCTTCTTTTGAGAAATGTCTGTTCATGTCCTCAGCCCATTTGTTTGATCGGGTTGTTTGTTTTTTTTGTTGTTAAAGCAGTGTGAGTTCTTTGTATATTATGGAGATTAACCCTTTGTCGGATAAGTGGCTTGTAAATATTTTTTCCCAATTAGTGAGCTGTTTTTTTGTTTCAATCCTGTTTTCCCTTGCCTTGAAGAAGCTCTTTAGTCTGATGAAGTCCCATTTGTTTATTCTTTCTATTGTTTCCCTCAACTGAGGAGTTACAGTGTCCGAAAAGATTCTTTTGAAACTGATGTCAAAGAGTGTACTGCCTATATTCTCTTCCAAAAGACTTATTGTCTCAGGCCTAATCTTTAGGTCTTTGATCCATTTTGAGTTTATTTTGGTGTGTGGTGAAAAAGAATGGTCAATTTTCAATCTTTTGCATGTGGCTGTCCAGTTTTCCCAGCACCATTTGTTGAAGAGACTTTCTTTTCTCCATTGTAGGCCCTCTGCTCCTTTGTCGAAGATTAGCTGTCCATAGATGTGTGGTTTTATCTCTGGGCTTTCAATTCTGTTCCATTGATCTGTGGACCTGTTTTTGTACACAGTCCCATGCTGTTTTGATCACTGTAGCTTTGTAGTATGTTTTGAATCGGGGATTGTGATTCCGCCCCCGTTTGTGTTTTCTTGCTCAGGATTGCTTTAGCAATTCGCGGTCTTTTGTTGCCCCATATGAATTTTAGGATTGTTTGTTCAATTTCTGTGAAGAATGTTCTTGGGATTCTGATTGGGATAGCATTGAACCTGTATATTGCTTTAGGTAGTATGGACATTTTAACTATGTTTATTCTTCCAATCCATGTGCAAGGAATGTTTTCCATCTCTTTATGTCATCGCCTATTTCTTTCAAGAAAGTCTTGTAGTTTTCATTGTATAGATCCTTCACTTCCTTGGTTAAGTTTATCCCAAGGTATTTTATTCTTTTCGTTGCGATTGTGAATGGGATAGAGTTCTTGAGTTCTTTTTCTGTTAGTTTATTGTTAGTGTATAGAAATGCTACTGATTTATGCACGTTAATTTTATACCCTGCTACTTTGCTGTAGTTGTTGATTATTTCTAATAGTTTTTCTGTGGATTCTTTGGGGTTTTCTATGTATAAGATCATGTCGTCTGCAAACAACGAGAGTTTTACTTCTTCGTTACCTATTTGGATTCCTTTTATTTCTTTTTCCTGCCGAATTGCTCTGGCCAGCACCTCCAGAACTATGTTGAATAGGAGTGGGTGAAAGTGGGCACCCTTGTCTTGTTCCTGTCCTCAGAAGGGATGGCTTTCAGCTTTTGTCCATTGAGTATGATGTTGGCTGTGGGTCTATCATATATGGGCCTTTATTATGTTGAGGTACTTTCCTTCTATACCCATTTTACTGAGGGTTTTTATCATAAATGGGTGTTGGATCTTGTCGAATGCTTTCTCTGCATCTATTGAGATGATCATGTGGTTTTTGGTTTTCATTTTGTGATGTAGTGTATCACGTTGATTCACTTGCGGATGTTGAACCATCCCTGTGTCCCTGGTATAAATCCCACTTGATCATGGTGTATAATCTTTTTGATGTATTGCTGTAATCGGTTAGCCAAAATTTTGTTGAGGATTTTTGCATCTATGTTCATCAGTGATATCGGCCTGTAGTTCTCCTTCTTTGTGTTGTCCTTGTCAGGTTTGGGGATCAGAGTGATGTTGGCTTCATAGAATGTGTTAGGGAGTTCTCCATCTTTCTCAATTTTCTGGAACAGTTTGAGGAGAATAGGTATTAAGTCTTCTTTGAATGTTTGGTAGAATTCTCCAGAGAAGCCGTCTGGTCCTGGACTCTTATTTTTGGGGAGGTTTTTGATTACCGTTTCTATTTCCTTACTTGTGATTGGTCTATTCAGATTCTCCATTTCTTCCTGATTCAGTTTGGGGAGATTGTAGGAGTCTAGGAATTTGTCCATTTCTTCCAGGTTGTTCAATTTGTTGGCATATAGTTTTTCATAGTATTCTCTTATGATCTCTTGTATTTCATTGGTATCTGTTGTGATTTCTCCTCTGTCATTCCTGATTTTATTAATTTGCGATTTCTCTCTTCTTTTCTTGGTGAGTCTGGCTAGGGGTTTGTCAATTTTGTTAATTCTTTCGAAGAACCAACTCTTTGTTTCATTGATCCTTTCTATTGTCTTTTTTGTTTCAATATCGTTTATTTCTGCTCTTATTTTTATTATTTCCCTCCTTCTACTGACTCTGGGCCTTGTTTGTTCTTCTTTTTCTAGTTCTGTTAGGTGTCGTTTGAGGTTGCTTACGTGAGCTTTTTCTTGTTTAGTGAGGTGAGCCTGTATTGCGATGAATTTCCCTCTTAGGACTGCTTTTGCTGCATCCCAAATGATTTGGTATGTCGTGTTCTCATTTTCATTTGTCTCCAGATAATATTTGATTTCTTCTTTAATTTCTTCAATGATCCATTGTTTGTTGAGAAGCGTGTTGTTTAGTCTCCACATTTTTGCACCTTTCTCTGCTTTTTTCTTGTAGTTGATTTCTAGTTTAATAGCGTTATGATCAGAAAAGATGCTTGATATTATTTCAACTCTCTTGTATTTATTGATGTTTGCTTTGGTTCCCAAAATATGGTCAATCCTTGAGAATGTTCCATGTGCACTTGAGAAGAATGTGTAACCTGCTGTTTTTGGATGAAGTGTTCTATATATATCTATTAAGTCCATCTGGTCTAATTTTTCATTTAATTCTATTATTTCCTTGTTGATTTTCTGTCTGGATGTTCTATCCATTGGTGTTAATGGTGTGTTGAGGTCCCCTACTATTATTGTATTGTTGTTGATGTCTTCTTTTAGTTCTATTAAGAGTTGCTTTACAAATTTTGGTGCTCCTGTGTTGGGTGCGTATATATTTATAAGTGTTATATCTTCTTGGTGGAGAGTCCCTTTTATCATTATATACTGTCCCTCTTTGTCTTTCTTTATCTGTTTTGCTTTGAAATCTACCTTGTCTGATATTAGTATAGCGACACCTGCTTTCTTTTGTTCATTATTAGCTTGGAGTATTGTTCTCCATCCCTTCACTCTGAGTCTGTGTTTGTCTTTGGGGCTGAGGTGTGTTTCCTGGAGGCAGCATATTGTTGGATCTTGTTCTTTGATCCATCCTGCCACTCTGTGTCTTTTGATTGGGGAGTTCAATCCATTTACATTTAGAGTGATTATTGAGACGTGGGGACCTACCACTACCATTTTGTGTCTTGTTTTCCGGTTTTCTTCAGTTTCCTTTGTTTCTCGTCCCATGGTTTAATCTGTTCTGATGTAGAGCTGCTACTCTCTGTTGTTGTCCTTCTACATATCTCCTCTGCTCTTGGTTTTGTAGCCCCTTTCCTTTTTTGGATTTTTCAGGAATGAGGGTTTTCCTGAGGATTTCCTGAAGAGGAGGTTTTGTGGCAATGAACTCCCTTAATTTTTGTTTATCTGGGAAAGTTTTTATTTCTCCATCGTATTTGAAGGATATTTTCGCTGGGTAGAGAATTCTCGGCTGTAGGTTTTTGTCCTTCAGATTTTTGAATATATCATTCCACTCTCTTCTAGCCTGTAAAGTTTCTGCTGAGAAATCTGCTGATAGCCTGATGGGGGTTCCTTTGTAGGTTAGTTTCTTTTGCCTGGCTGTCCTTAATATTTTCTCCTTGTCGTTGACTTTTGCTAGCTTCACTACTATATGCCGTGGAGTTGGTCTTCTTGCATTGATAAAGTTTGGAGATCTATTGGCTTCTGTCACCTGAAGATCCATCTCCCTCACCAGATTTGGGAAGTTCTCAGCCATTATTTCTTTGAATAGGTTTTCTGCCCCTTTCTCCTTCTCTTCTCCCTCTGGTATACCTATAATCCT